CTGCACTGTCACGGTTCGACTCCCGCTGGGGGTGCTGATAAGACCGATGCGAGGTCGAAACTGCAGTCCACTCCTGCCTGGATGACAACAACTTTTGTGAAAACAAGGATATGTGAAATTTAGTGGAAACGTCAGCTCAACTCATATCATTGTGGGAAAATTCTTCTACCAGTCCTTCGTCACCTTAAACGAAATTGGGTGAATACATCTCAAATTTCTAGAGTTGTGGACGTTTAAACTGGATGGGGCGGCATCCACGAGACATGATATGGCGAAAGTTATTACAAATTAAATTATTTGGTGCTATCTATTAAAAATTACCCAACCAGCATATTAAAACGCATAAAATAGGGACTTGCAATTCGAGCAAGTAAACACAAAATAAGGAAATAAGAAAACAGGCAAATTGGCTGAATTAATTTTTGCATTTTTCTTTGCCAAATCCCGAGAGCTCTCTTAATGAGTCAAGGCTAACCAGCTTGCCACAAAAGGTCCCTAGGCTAGCGTGGTAACGTCGCTTCGATACTCACGATCCGGTATGGAATCAGGTTGGGGCAAGATCGAAACTGTAGACTAGCCCAACAAGGGTGAGATGGCCTGTTGGCAGGACGGACTAAGTGAAATGCAATGGCATCCTGGAAACTATTCTTTTGAATTTGAGAAAACTCAACTATCCGTCAATTGTGCTCCAGTTCGCATTTTTAGCTTGATCCATTTAAGGATGTTATGGGATTCGTATTTTAGTTTATTTAGTTATGGCTCAGATTGGCGGAGAAATATGTAAGTCGGCACGAGAAGTAACCTTCATAAATAAGTTCAGGACCCTGTTGAAAGGCAAAATTGTCGAGAAATTGATTCGCAATTTCCAGAACAACCTTTTTAATTTTCACTAACACGCTGAGAGACACTATTTGACGAAGATCAAGCCAAGATCAATCCATAAGCTCACACATTAAGTGATCCTTCACTCCTTGGGGCAAAGGGTAGACGTATCAATCAAGATATATTAAATGAGCATACCTGATGGAGGAAAAAGAGAAATTGCAAGTTTCGCGAGCAGACCTCGAATGAAGACATCTGAGACTAAAAAATCAATCCCGAAGCTTGCAATCCTTGCCAGCAACTTGAGCCATGAAGGACTAGGCTCTTTTATTGATGACGAAATATCATAAAATAATAGCCTCAAAACAAGTAAAACAATTGAGCCCCGTAAATAGGAGGCGACACATTTAACAGACATAAAAAAAGTGAAGGTTGGCAAGGCGCCAAGTTGAGTTTAATTAAAAAATATGAAAATGCAAAACTTTGTATGAAAGTGCATGAAGAAGAGATTCGTGGGTCGATCTCAACAGAAGAGGACAGATGAATCCCATTTCTACTGCAGCCGTTTGGCTTTTATATCACGTTCAAGTTGACGCAGTCCACAAGACCTCCTTTCTCGTTTCGGGTGAAAACGGGCTTAGATTTCGTCAATCAAATGATGGAGAATATCAGAGTTGGGTTCAATTCCAGTAAATGTCTCAACATGACGCTAGGAAAAAAAGACTATCCGGCTCTAACTTACCTCTTATATAGACTAAATTAAACAAAGAAAAACCGTTTAACTAATTATCTTTTATTCTAGTCCTGCTACTTTTGCTCGAGTGTGTGTGTATGTGTGTGTGTGTGTGTGTTTTAGCGTCAATACGCAATACCGGTCCTAAATCAGAGGTTGCAAAAGGCTAATGTCAGGCTCTGATTATGAAGACATTATGATAAACCAAAGAAACCTTATCCTCTTAGTAGGGTTTCTAAATATTTGTAGTAATAATCTAATCATTATGAAGGCCGACAAAGTTGGAGCAGTGATAGTCATGGATAGGTCAACTTTCTACCACCGTTCCCCCCATTCAACGTATTTCCTAAGCGATTCATTTCAATAAAATCTCTCCACTCTTTCTTTTAGCCGCAGACGTACCATGATCAGCAAACCTAATAGTTTTAGACCATTCTATTTCCTGTCCAGTTTCTACCATTTCTTCGGTCACTTCTGACCGTTGGACCTAGCTTCCTTTACAAGCATGTTTATTTTCCCCCAATCTTTGCCGAATAGGTCGGCATGTCTCACCAACATAACATCGACCACATGAGCAAACAATCTTGTAGCAGCCAGATCTCGAAAATGGATCATCTTTCGCATGTTTCAATAACAGAAGAAAATGCGAGGGTTTCTTTGAACACCGTTTTTATCCACTACTTTCTTACTATTTCACGTATCCTTTTTGAAAAAAAGCACGACGGCATACAACTAAGGAACTCTGCCAATTTTTGGCTATATTTAATTAAAAATTCTTATAATTTTGCAAAAGGGATTGACCAGTAGATACTTTCATTGATACAAATCTGGAGGAGCATCCAGAGATAACACAAAGAATAAGACTGACTATGGCTTCAATTATTAGACTTATTATTATCCTATACATGAGTATCACATATTTTACTTTTGATGGTAAGTTATACAAACGAACTCAAGGACTTGCGATGAGATCTTGCCTGACACCCATCTTTGACACATAATTATTCGCCAAGATGGGGGCCAGGCAAGTATGCTTAATTGAGTCTATATAAGAGGTAGAATAGAGCCGGATAGTCTTCTTGCTCTAGTGCCAACGTGAGAATTTTACAGAAATAAGACCAAGTTCTGATGATGTCCATCATATGATTGACGAAAGCTCAGATCTTTTTCAGCCTAAACGAGGGAGGAGGTCTTGTGGACTGCATCAAACTGAACGTGGTATAACAGCCAAACAGCTGCAGTACAACGAAATTCATCCGTACTTTTCTGTTAAGATCAACTTACGAATCTCTGCTTCATGCACTTTCATACGAAATGAAAGTCCTCCCAACAATGTTATCTCAGGAGATTTATCGAAACCCAGGTTCTCTTCGAAAAAGATATACCCGATGAGCAGAATGGGCCTCAGCATAGGGCTAGCAAACTTTAGAAAATGAATAACTCAAGTTTTACGTTTCAGAGCTTCTTAATAGAACGAACTTTGTCCCAAATCCTCTGCCAAGTAAAAGGCGCATTCTACGAAGTCGCCTTGACTACAAGACCGAGTTTCGACAATGATATCAGCCCACTTCTATAAATCGTATGGAGACTGAGACCATGACGGTGACCACACCATCTTGGTCTTCATATCTAGGTTTACGATTTGTTTGATAATTTAGACATGACAATTTAGACGAATTACCAGAAATAAGTATCTAAATATTGCAATTACAGTAAATTCGGTGATTAATTTTGAATGGTACGAGGAAAGTATACTTCATTTCAGGCGTATATAAGAGATATGTACGTTGAGTGTAATGACATTGAAGTGAAAAAAAGATAAAATATAAATTAAAAAATGCATTTCACTATTTACAAATAGCTACCGGACCACAACTTAAATCTTTATTCAGGCATTCCTAAGAAGTCTAAAAATCCAAAGGAACATACACTAAGTAGATTAATTGGCAGCTTAATTGAGGGTGACCAAATCATCTTGGTCATCATATCTAGTCTTACGATTTGTTTGATAATTTATCCATGACAATCTAGACTAATTACCACAAATAAGTGGCTAAATATTGCAATTACAGTGAATTCGGTGGTTAATTTTGAATTTTACCAGGAAATTATACTTCATTTCAGGCCTATTTAAGAGATGTTTACGTTAGGTGTAATGATATGAAAGTAAAAAAAAGAGAAAATAAAAATGAAAAAAATGTATATCACAATTTCTAAATAGCACAACTTAAATCTTTATTCAGGCATGCCTAAGAAGTCTAAAAATCCAGACGAACATACACGTAAGTAGATTAATTGTCAGCTTAAGTAACGGTGACCACACCATCTTGGTCATCATTTCTTGTCTTACGATTTGTTTGATAATTTATCCATGACAATCTAGACTAATTACCACAAATAAGTGGCTAAATATTGCAATTACAGTG